TTAACTGTGTTCCATCCACAGCTGTATGTTTGTGATTTCCTTTGGTGACATAAGTCCATTCTTTTATTTTTTGGGGTGGTTAGGATAGGAGAACAGTGGTGTGGAGGAAACCATCAGAAGGATGAGATGAGGAGACTCTGGGCTCAGCAGTCCACTGTGAAACACAGAGGAGGAAACCACAAGCCTAAGGTGTGTGTGGCAGCTTTAGATAGCAGAGAACGTACAGACATGCCCTCTCACAGAAGACAGAGAGAAAACCTGAGAACCTGCATAAATGAAGAATGAAGACGGAATCTGCAGAAATCAACTAAGGTAGAAATTTAAAGTTTAGTTCCCCAAAAGATCAAGTGCACCCACTTTCTGCCTGTTCCTACATGAATGTCAGTAAATCTGACACAGAAACAGTATTTAAAAGATGTGTCGTTGTAGAATTTTTAAAGTTGACTGTGTAATAAATACAAATAAATAGCTCTTTTTTGGACTATATACTCTTTTAGATTTTAAGAAAATAACACTTACAGTAGGTAACACTTGTTCACACTATGGGTTATAACATACTTTTCTGCCAAACTAAGTTGATATAATTTTCTTTTATGAAATAAAAAACAGACTCCCTGTGTTTCAGGACCAAAATGAATAGTTTTTTTTAGAAGAAAAATGCTTGGACTTCTTAATTAGCAGCACATCTTGCCACTTCAATGTGTTACTTTCTTCTGTGGAAAAAGCGCAGACAGAGATGAATGTATCTAACGAGACTCTGTAGTTTGTTGGGAATGTTATGGTGCATTATATTCTAGAAGGTACATGTAATTTAATACAGGAAGTGTTTCAGGATTCCAAATTAGGTTGTATATTCCCATTCTGATAGCATCAAAAGCAAAATGATAAGATTTTCATCTTTTCTTGAAAGAATCCAGGGTATTAGCTATAAAAAACATGTTCAGGCAGCTTGTTACATTCTCCCACAAACCTTTGTGTAATGAAATGTCTCTTTATGGTCTCGTTGTGTTGCTGTATGCTTCTTTGAGTGAGATTGGCTTGGTGTTAGGGTTAGGGTTGGAACCGGTGATTAGGGTTAGGGTCACAGTTAGGATTAGGGTTAGGAAAGGCAGAGCTGCAGACATTACCCAGGGTTAAACACCTTCATGGCCTGAAAATCTGCTGTTTCTTTTTTAATCCTGTTAAGCACCAGCTATGGGTGGGTAAATGGTTATACCACTGGTTTTAGCAAAAAACAATTCATTTCACAACATGCTTAGAAAAAGAAACACTGATGTATCAGCCCGAAACAAGCCCTCCTTATTGAATGTGTTAAGGCATGACAAAGTTTTCAGAGCACTGCGTTTTTTAAGAACTTTGACTGGTGTGGCAGGGGCATGACACTGTACCTGAATAAAAGTCTTTTCGCTGGTATTTTTTTTGCATTATCCCATTCATGCACACTTCAAATAATTATATATCATTACTCGTGACTCTGCTCCCTTGATTTCTTTTGTCTTTTTTTGCAAGATATTGTGTTCCTGGACCCAATCAGTGCATTTGTGTCTGTCTTTAGACTAGATTTGCATACTGTGTTAACTTACATCTGTAAAAGAGTGGGAGCAGCCATGTGATTGCTGTGGGGCACCAGTAGCGCTCTTAGCGTCAGTCACTCAGACAGTACAGGCCACAGCACATCAGCAGAAGTGACATGAAGAGAAGTGATGTTGCTTTCTGGTTCCCAAGACAGACGCATTAGCATATTTATACATCATTCAGATTGCACCCTAGAACACAATATTCTGAAAATACGAAGTGGGATGATAAAACATGGAAAATAGGTCAACTTATTATTGATTTGTATATACAAATTATACAAAGAACAAAATTGGGGCAAAATTCTTCATTAAAAGTTTGAATCTTTATGAATTGCACCAGCTGTACTATAAAATAAAGTGTCCGTAATATATAATACTATGTCCAAGCCTGAAAGAGAAAAAGACTATTGTGTTAAAGGGGTTAATGAGAGTTCTCTTGTTTTTATCCTAGCCAGTGGCAAAATACTAATCTCTCGACAGTGTAATGACACAACACTTCTAGGAATTGTTCCTGCAGTGGTAACTGTTTATATTTTGGTGATAGTTTCCTTACTGACCTGTGGCACATTTACAAATAAAAATGGGACAGTTTAAAAAAAATAATCCCATTAGGTTTTTTTGCATTGTTACTTTTCTGGCATGTTTCTGAGGTAGTTAGAGTAGAAAGGGAAAAAACAGTAGGAAGACACTGAGGGAAAACTTGGGCTAGTGTACCATTTTGCCCTCGTCTTCCCAGCACCAGAGTCAATGTGTAAGAAATAGAAACCCTCTCAATAAGCTTTCACAGAGATTTCACATGCTCCCACCAGGTGAAAATGCACCAAAGGAAACAAATCTGTCTCAGCTATTGAAATCTTTCAGCGAATTAAGAGAGATCAAAATTTAATTAGTCAGGAGTTGCCTGTCACATGAGAACAGGAATGTGAAATGAAATGTGGGCCTTCTGAAAACAAGGCCCCTATTTCATTCCGTCGTTGGCACTTACAGATTCTCCTACCACACCAACTGAACCCTTACAATCAGTACATCATCCAAGTACAGGGTCAAGCAAGATATACAGACACTGACTGACACCAGAGCTGTGAGAATGGTCTCGTTCTAAAGTGGAAAATGAAGGTTTCTTATGTACAGTAGCATTCTGGGGCAAGAGCAGTGGCAATGTGGCTAAGGATCTGTGCCTGTGGCTGGAAGGTTGCTGGTTCAAATCCCATGGCTGGCAGAGGAATCCTACTCCCTTGGGCCCTTGAGCAAGGCCCTTAACCCCAACTGCTCCAGGGGTGCCATATAAGTGGCTCACCCTGCGCTCTGACCCCAAGCTTCTCTCTCCCTGCCTGTGTGTCTCATAGAGAGCAAGCTGGGGGTATGTGAAAAAAGACAAATTCCTAATGCAGGAAATTGTATATGGCCAATAAAGTGATCTTATCTTCTGGGATGAAAGGCTGGATGTTGTCTGTGTTGGATTCCTTATTGCAAATGCAGACTGTAAAAGCTGAGAATTTTTAAAACCTGCAGAAGAAACCCAGGGGATCGATAAGGGGCCGATTAACTCCAACGAATAGCTCACAGATCTGGTCCAGGCCGCAGGGGAGAGAGAAGCACTAGAACCACTCTGCTGAGGGACAGGTAGAGGGCTAGGGACCAAGCTGGGGTTGAACCCCAAACGCTGTTAGTGCCAGCACCATGCTCAAAGCACCTGAATCACCTGAGTTCTCATATGAACACTTTCAAATGTCTGTTAATCAAATTACAGGAGAAATACAAATCTGCTTGAGGTGGAATGGGTTATATATTTTTATACATGAGATAAAACCCAATAAAGCCAGAACCATTTTGTGATCCCCCTTTAATCAAGAAAGGGCTCTGCAAAATGTTCATCACGTAAAATACGTGACTTTCAAACTGCTGATTTTCATTTCCACACACATACTTTTCCAAATCCATTTTCGTGTGTGCCCTACAGTACTGTGTACTTAGGACAGTGCATTTTCTACTGCATGTCACATATAACTTAAAGTAAAACATGAATTTCTAAATAACAGCATTTAGAATTTATCTGCAGTAAAGTACCATTCTCAACATTTATTTTCTAAAGGCCCCGTTATGATACACTCATTCCTCAACAAAGAAGTAATGAGAACGTCACTGCAGAGAATCCAAAAATACCTTTTTGAAAAGGCTAAATATTCACAGGCATTTTTACCGGGACTGTTAGAGTTTTAATCCAGTTCACTCCCTCCGGGGGCAGTTGCTATGCAGCGTGTCCTTGGTATTATTTCACTGGGATTACAGATACTGGAAATAACAGCCGGGCATGTTGTGAAAATATCGCTCATACACAATGATGAAACATATTTATTTTGCTTTCAATTAATATGCAGTGGCCCAGGGGACTGTTGCAGAAGTGACTTTTTACACACACTACTGTGCCATTGTGCTTTTAACTGGACCCCCCACTCTTTTTTCCAGCTAAATCAATTGGTTGAAGAAAGCTTGATCTGTTTTTTGTGGTTGCTCTTATCCCTCCCAAGCTTTTGTTAAAAAGAAAGGCTGTGGCAAAAGGGTAAATCTACATAGACCAGCAGGAACTAGAGGTATCCCATATGAAATTATGCAAATCTAAAATAAATGCATTAAGTTTACATTTTCAAAGTCTTCTCTCGATAAGTAGTTATGTTCTCGTTTGTCACAGCTGAATACATTTATCTATATACAGTATATACAGTAGATGGAGCATACATCTGTACCCAATGGAGACAAAGCCAGTGGGTGTACTTTTGCATTTTCATTATTAGATCATTTTGAACTGAAAGGTTAAAAAGAAAGACTTACTTTTTGTGTTTTATGTACTTTTAGGTTTGTATGAAACATTCGAAGACTTTTTCTGCAGCAATAAATTATTTAAACAGTGATTTTATTCCAGATGAACACTCAAAACAATTACTCAGACAATCTAAAATCTAGTAACCAGGCAACTAAATACTTTTTTTATAATTAATGGGTTGGATTTGTTTGTGTTTTCAGTATTAAAGGGGCCTTCCCATTTTTGTAGTCTTTCTGTTTGTGCTGAATGAGTACAATATGTGTGCCTTCATTTGGATTGCCAAGAGGGTTGTTTAACAGTGTGATGATTTGAAAGAAACAGGGACTTGAAACCTTGAACCTGTGACTATGCCTGTAGGCCTGTCGATTCCACCCTTTTTAAAATAAATGCAGCCTACAGAATAGCATTGCTCAGGGTGGTGATCTTTATGCAAGACGAAACAAAACCATTTCTTATCTGATTATTCTGCAAAATTTGTGAACGTTACCTTATATCTATGTATATCATTATTCACACTATAAGACTGTATATTTTAACTAGGACCAGGAAATCTTATATCACTAGAATACCTAAGCGGTCCTATTTAAATGTGGTATTTTTAAACACTGGTGTGTGGAATGTTTTTAGATTTTGTGCACCGAACCATGTTTAAAAAGGCTCTTTCTATGTCAAAATTAAAAGATGTCACTCACAAACAAGTGGCCCAAGTACCATGTTAGGACCCTGCATTTGTAGCCCGGTTATTCCTGATTTGTTATGTTTAATAGATAACACTTGTCTGTGATGGAGTGGCTTGTACTACCCAGGGCTCCTTGAACCCTGTGCCTACTGGATTAGGCTCCAGCTCATCGCCACCCTCAAAGGATAAAGCAGATACTGAAGATTGATGGAGGGAGAGATAGTGCTTGTTAAGCTCTACTTATCTGTCAATGATGCCTCTTCCAACTTTACCACAACAGTCATTCATCCTTGGAGCAAGTGGTAATTAAGATTTTGTCTTTACAGATTCAGGGGACTGATATTTATGTCTCTAGCTATATTCCATTAAGTCTTGTAAAATCCAAGGTTTTCAGCAACAAACAACAACAATAGAAACATATCAATACTATACTGATGCCACACTGGCAGATCAGTTATAAATTGGTGTCCTTTACTGTGTAAATGCAAAAAAAAAAAACCCACAGAGTTTTGCTCACACAAATAATTTAATATGTAAATGCAGGGAAATGTTCCCCCCCCCCCCAATCATGTGGTGGAAATGAATTAATTTCCATCTTTGTGTTTTTAAGGAGCAAAAGGCTTACGAGACCTGAGTCCAAATGCTGCTGCTTGAGTGAAGGCACACCAGCCAGGAATAAATTGACTAAATTCATTCCTAAATCTGTTGATGAAAGACGTTGGAGGGCTTCACGGCGCAGGATGGAAAAAGGTGAGAGTGTGAACCATACGGAGCTCATGGAGGGAGCTATATGACATCTGTCAGAGTTGGGGAAATATTACAGCCCTGCTCTGGCCAGGGTCAGATATCCCCCCTGTAGTCACTTAAGTTGTCATTGACATTGTGACACTTCTTTGGCAATAATAGCAGAGGCCTCCCATCACACAGGCGTAGAGCGCGCAGGTTTTTGAATAAATGTATTTCAAATGACTCTTCCCTGATGCAGTTCGCCTGCAATGCTTCTATCTGAGGGACACTGCTTCCCTCCGGTTGGAGTTCAAAGAGGGCTGGGACATAGGAAGGTCGAGAATAAACTTACAAAAGAGACTTACAAAATATGTATACTTGTTGGTTTTTTAAAAGTATATAAGATTGGCTACTAGGTTCAGCTGTGCATTTTCTTCCCAAGGCCCAGTCCACTCTGCTGGGGTAACTCATGTGTGAGCAAAGTAGCTTGAAGTCTTCAGGTCTCAGAAGCTACCTAGTTGCTCATCACAGGCCTTGGCTCAGTCAGTAGATAACAAGCTGGGCAAATAAGTATCTCCCTGGATCCTACTCTGGAAATGTCAGTGTAACAGGAGGCACACGGATCCTAGACAATTCCAGCCTCCACGGGCTAATGCATGCGAGCTGAGTTTGAGGACTTTTAAGAAATCAAGCCTCCTGTATATTCTGTTTTGGAGAATATCTGCTGTATCTTCGCCCAGAGTATCCAAGATATTCATGATGAGCATAACTATATATATTTACAGTATATACATTTAATTTTCTATTATTATTACTTGCTTCTGTTTTTGTTCTGTTTGTTGCAGTGTTGTTGCTTATTAACATGTCTCTCTTGGGCCATTGATACTCCTTACCTGGGTTCAGCAGGGATTCTTTCAGGTTGAAGAAGGAACCAGAAGCAGACAACAGCACTGAGAACATGGAAAGGAAGCACATGGAGGATTAGAACTCTACAGCTATCTGCTTTCCACATTATAGGCAAACAAGAGGAGGTCATTCGGTTCAGCTAGCCAGTTTGTTTGTTATTGGTCCATTGATCCTGGGATCTCATTCAGGCTTTTCTTGACAGCAGCCAAAGTATAAACGTCATCCACATGGCTGGTGCACTTGTTCCATACTCTCACAACCCTTTGTGTAAAGAACAGGCTCCTGTTTTCAGTTTTCAAATCCCTCCCACATAGTTTCCGTATTGACATGGTTGCAGACAATCCAGCAGGGGTACGCCAACATGAATGGCACAACTGCGGTACATCTATGACTGCAATGTCCGCATTCTCAACAGCTTTTCAGCTCTCAACTCTAGGCTCTGTTTTCCTTACTTCAAATACTGCATGGGGCAAGGGGATTGTCGCTGTTTGTAGAATCACTGCCCTGCTGAAAAAGTGGCTTGTTTTGTTTAATATGAGATTGTGTATGGGCCTCAAATGGTTTAAAGAAATGGGCTCTGACTGATCAATTCATTTTTAAGTGATGATTATTAGCTTTAAAGACAGAGGCTTTTTAGTTTATGTAGATTTCCCCTTATTCTGAAATTATGAAATGCGGGTGCTACTGCCAACAATAATGCTAAAAACACTACTATCAATAACAATACTAGTGAAATCCTTTATTTAAATAACTCTTTCGTCACAAAAGCTTTCCAAAGTGCTTTACTGATAAAACAAGTGAAAATGGTTTCAGTTACCCCCTACTGAAGTTCATTTCCTCTCGGATGACAAACTCTACAAACTTATTAGAGAGGTTTGGATCTACTTATCAAACAAGAGTGCACTAGAGGGGGCATATTAAGATCCCAGACTGACAGGATTCAGTCAACACACCTGAGTTTGTATTATTGCTCTTCAGTGACCTCTGTTTTGAACTTACCTATACAGTATGTGCCTTAGTTTTCCCAGTAGTACCACAGGTTGATAAATAAGAAAACATTTAACAGCTGAAGGTCTTGAACAGTCTCTGCCAGACTTAAATTGTAATGTGTCAGAATATACTAAAAACACCGTGTAAGAATTTGTGTTTAGTGCTAGATTAACATCTCGTCTAGTGTGCAAACCACTTTCTTCTGCACAATTTATGTTTCATTTTCCATTTCATAGCCACCCTTCCTGTTGGCAACAGCTCCTGGAGGGGCAGAACAGGGGCTGGTGGTCAAGATTCTCCGACGCAATCGACTTTGGACTCACGACGAGCTCCACAGCTCCTTACAGGAGACGCCGCCGCTCTCAGTGGAACAGGAGGAATGCTACAGCTCTCAGTGAGACGAGAGAGTGCAAGCCCTGGCAGGGTGGTGCGAATTGTGAATCACCATCCAAGGATTCCCAGTTACAATGTCTGACAGACCCCATCTCCTGGTGACAATATAGACACAGACCTGGACAGCACTCTTCCAGTAAGTGAAATGCAGCTCAGTGTGCATGGCAATGTCTCCCTTACACGGATTTAAACTAAAAAGAAAAAGTATATTATTAGTGAGGACATAAAAAGGCTACAAACAAGAGGAAGCCCTTCTAGCTCATTTGTGTTGTCAGTAGCTACTGTAATTGATCTGAGGATTTCATCCAGCTGTTTGTTGAAAGAAGCCAAGGCTTCAACAGTGTGTCTGGGCAGCTTGTTCTAGACTCCCACAACTGATATTAATTTGGCAAATGTCTTAATCCAAAATGTACCTTGAATAAAAAAAAAAAAAAATGTATTACTTTATTGCAGCATACAATAGACCCATGTAGCACTAAAAGAAAAGGCTCTGTAATGGTAAGGAGTGGTCACATTGCTGGAAATTAAAATAAAGTTATATATTTAGGCAAAATATAACACCAATACAATATTTTATCTAGATAAACATTAAAAGCATTAGACTAGTGCAGTGAAGGTGATAACCGTTTGAACTGTTGCACAGCAAACTTAATTCTCTGGGCACAGACGTGACTAAATTCATCATTCAATAAATGTTTTGTAATTATGTCAATAAGTTTTCATTAAAAAAAGGTTTCAGGAAACCAATTGGTAGAATAGGAGGATCCTTATGCGGAACTGTGAATCCTGCAGAATGCACAAAAGAACAGGCACAATCCAAAAGACAAAATCCAGGGGCTTGGCCAATTAGGGAGGCAATGAGTCAGGTAACCAGGGAAATCCAAAAAGTGTGGTCAAAAAGGTAGGAGCAAAGATTTGATACCAGGAGATCATTCAAAAGGCTTGGAAACACACACAAGAGAATTCTACTGGAGGCTTCTCAATAGTGAGGATGGGTTGGTGTGTGAGGGAACTTTAAATACTGAAGGGAAAGGGACATGGTTGGATAATTGGTCTGGTAGTGAGAATTTGTGGAATCTGGTGCGTGTGGGAATGTGATGGGTTCAATTAGGAATGAGATTGTGAAACAGTGGGAATGCAAGGGCGTTTGCGAGGGAGAGTGTGGGGTGTGACAAAAGGTACAGAGATTTAAAAACAACAATATTGTATTGACTTAAATATTTTTTCAACCTGTACTTAATACTATACAGTTCTCCATATTAAAATGAGCAGCCTTGTCAGAGGCATCTGCATCTTGCAGGGCCCAACCTAAGCAGAAAGGCTAATGATTTCACCACAGGATTGTGGAAAAACTAGATAGTCATAATTTGGCTTGAGGTCATTTTTTTTCAAACTGGCCAGACAGATGACAGAGACACCAGGACAGGTCTGGGCAAATAAGAGCAATGTCTTGGAAAGTGGTTTGGCAGAGACAGTGTCATGTATCATTAAAAATGTGAAACAAAAATAGCCATAAAAGATAAAAGCAAGAAACACTCGAAATAACAATAGCAAGCTCTGTTTCAATAAAGATAAGAGGGTGTTTACGTTCATTTTAAAAAAGGCAGTGATGTTTTCGTTTCAATGCATTGCAAGCCTGCTAGACAATGCACAACAGTCTGGAATCTTTCAGGCTTTCAAGGGAGCGTATAATTAGGTGATTGTTCAACAGGCAGGAGTGTCTTTATGAAAGACTGCGGGGCTGATTTACCAAGCTTGGCAGCAGGAGAAAAGTTTGCTCTGCTGTTATTATTTTTTCAAATGGGAGTTTAAAATGCTAATATTCCAACGCTAGAGTTTAAATCACTTATAGGCAAAATCCTTCAAAAGTATTAACTGTGCTTCTTGAGACAGGTGAAGGAGTGTGAGAAGATCTTCACCAACATATTGTCAGCTCTTCAGCTGTAAGTCTGTTCCATTCAGAAGAGTTGTCTCTATCCCTCTATGTTACACATCAAAACATTGGTGGTCCATCAAATTCTGCTTGTCAATTGAACACATTCCCTTCATTCTTTGGATAAATCTATATTTTGTTATGTAACTTACTGTTAAATATTAACATGTTTACATTTTACAATTGTAAGTAGGAGACATTGCTCCTGGTGGACAGCTGAATTTTCAAGGTTTTGTACGTGACTGGCTTTTCACAGATGTCAAAGAGCCCAAGAAGGTGTGAAACTCTCACTCGTTGCTTCATGTGGTCTTTTGTTTTGTGTGAACGCAAAATAAAAAACTCCATACCTCAGCACAGAGACATCCCAAAACCAGACTCTTTTGCAAGTTCCCCGAGTTAACTGAGAAACACAACATACTGTTTCAAATATATGTGAAAATAAAATTTCACCTGCAGTACTCCTTTTTATCCAGCCACTCGGTTTCTTTTGTTTTCTCCTCTGTGGAGCTCTGGCATTAAATCTAATGGAAGAGAAAAAAAATCACAGAGGTAAAAAAACAAAATCTGACTGTATTTCTTTAATGTTGCAGCAAAACTGTTGCCTGTGGGTAACAGTAGGCACCTCAGTTGTGCAACAATGCCCTCAGCTTTTAGCTCCGGGCACTATATCATAATCACAGTGACTTCTGTAACCCTAAGGCAGTAATCCAAAGATGTTATTGTCAAGAGTAAGAGCTGTTTATATAATGCTGTTTTTCCCCTTTTGCACTCCCATGTAGCTTGTACACTGTGCTCTGTATTTCGCTATTACAACAGACTTTCAGGGAAGAAAGTGTCTTCTACAAAATTACAATGGTAGCTACGAGGTTGAAATGCAATATGAGCACTGTCAGCTAAGCAACATGGCTTTATCAATAATGCGTGGGATATAAAAAATGCATCTTGGTGTATTTCAAAACCACGTTTTCTTACATATTCACCATTGTTACCTAGTAAAGTAAATTTTTAAAGGGAAATGTTCACTTAAACTGTACGTGCGGCCCTGTGTTGGAGAAAGCATTCAGAAAATCGATGGATGTTCATATATATTTAGTTAAATATTATACAGGAATTCTGCCATTTTATCTTGCTTTATTTGTGTGTTGGTGATACATACAGTACATTATATATTCCACTCTTAGGTAAATAGGTACTGTATATACAAGTGTATATACAAGTGTTACGTTCAACATGAGAACCTAGACAGCCAAAAAAAATTAAGTCTGTAAACAAAAGACTATTCCTGTTGTGTGCATAATGCAAGATACACTGTAGCTGAGGATTTTAGATTCCCATGCTGTGTATCAATTATTTAAATTCACAGGAAATACAATTTGGGTAATAATACAATTTAAATAATTGATGGTACATTTAAATTATTTGCATGCCTTTGTAAATTTACAGGATACTAATTTTATGTTTCCTGCTTAGAAGCTTGTCATCTTGGAAAATAAGTGTGTTCAATATACTGTACATGCTAAAGATATGTTTCACAGAAAGGTCCCAAAATCTTTATTTGGATCATAGAAGCTGGAAATGTATTAAAAGTCGCTCTGATCAATGGTTTTAAAACCCTAGGGTGGACTGAACCTTTTTCCTCGCCTAATTTGAGTTCGGTCACGCGTGATCCTAGAGCAAGTCTTATCGCTGGTTACATCCATTTTTTTTCTGTGTGTGTGCATGTGCTGTCAAAGACAGAGAGCGCTGACACTGACACAGGGGAGGAAAATAAGAAAGGGGAAGGGATTAAAAAAAAAACCTAAGTGCCGAGCATCATCTTTGACATTCTGCTTGGCTTGACCTTAACAGACCCAGATCTTGGGAGACCCAGAAGTGGAACCTGATCATTACAGGATAAAAGCAGAGAGCGACAGGGAAAGGCTGCTGCCTGTTAAAACCTTTAGTGATGCCGCAGTGGTAAATGAATATAGGAATACTGATACAAATAGAGGTCAGGTGGCCTCAAATATGATCTACTTTCTACATGTATCTCAGGGTTCTGCAACCATGATCCTGAAGGACCCCGATCCAGTATTTGTTATACAGTAGGTCATTTCCAAATCACCTCTTCCTGATTGGGAGCACTTGCACATTGTTAGTGAATTGAGCAATCAATTTGTTCAGCTATAGAAACGCTTATCCCTGAGGACTGAAGAGTATTCAGATTTCTGTTCCAAAGTTACAGAATTTAACCAATCGCCTGCTTAAATATACTGTAGATAATCAGAGGTTACCTATAAAATCCACTACACTGAGGTTCTCAATCAGCCAAGTTAGAAATCCCATGTTGTATAAGCATATATTCATTGTACACAACAGCTACAGGTAATGTGAAATTCAAAATCTGTGTTCCTGATACTTATACAGTACCTGGTAATAAATTCTTATATTACACAAACCGAGCCCTAATTGTATTCATGTTCTCAATATATTTCAAAGATCTCTCTGTGCTTCTCTCATTTAGAAATACCAGAGCAATCAAAGGTATGATGAGTTCTGGGACAGAGCAGAATTTAAACATGTTTCTCAGAAAGCAGGATTAAGTTAGCTTGATTAAATTTGATTTTTTTGCAAGCAACCTCTGGGTAATTCCTCTTAAACATAAAAGTGACAGAAATCAAGGCATGTGGGTAAAACCCCAATTTAAATCAGGGAATTCTTCTCTTAAGGCTGATTGGTAGCCTTCAGCTAGGAGTCAAATACAAGACTCTCAGTTCTCCTCTTCTTTTTTCACCTTCCTAAACAAAAGTTTACAGAATCTGCAGGAATGCCATAGAGATCATTTCAGGGTACTCCACTGTCAGGAAAAATTGATTTTGGCAAGCCAAGTCCCAAGAGAATCAAGCCCCAAATTCACACAGATTTTTTGCATGAGTCTTGTAGAATATGTTGTTTTTGACTGATAACACACTCGAGACTCCCAGAGACTTGTACCCCCTTGGCTTGCGTCGTCTCAGTTTGAAGGTCTTTGCTCCCTCTAAAGTTCATGACATCATTAACACATATTCCCTTGTGATTCCAACCAGTGCTATGTGTTTCACTCCTCCCCATACAAAATGTTTATGTAGCTTGTTTAAAGAGGAGAGAGATGTAAGAACATAAAGTTTGCAAACAAGAGGCCATTCAGCCTATTTAGATGATCTGATTACTAGTAGCTAATTGAT